ATGACAATACTGATGGCTGTACGTGGAGCCAGCGACAATATAACGCATGGAAGTGGTAAATGAACACAGCAATGGGAGCGAGAGTGGGAACATGCATTGCATTGCGTCCGTCGGCATGGGCATTGTTACAGCCAGCTAAGCATATTTATGCATCCAGCGCATGGAAGTGAACTTGCACGGGCGCCTTACCTTGCCTTCGCCGATCTCTCGTAACTCCATCCCGTTCCAGCGCCCAGATCACCGAATCCTGTGCCAGGATAATTTCTATCCATTAAAGAAGAGACAACGGATGAAGATGGAGAGATAGACAGGGGAAGGGGAGGGAGGTATTTCCTAAATTCTAACACACTATCTCTCCCCGTGTCCTTTCCTCTGCGTTCAGTGTCTGTTTATCTCTCCCGTTTCACAAGCAAGTCCTCAAGAATAGGACCAGCACAGAGGGGGAGAGGAATGGAGGGAGGAGGGGGAGATGGATACAGAGGAGAGGGGAGGGGAGGGGGGTGAAGTACACCAACCACCGTCACCACAAAAAATCCGGTTTCTTCCTCCCCTCGCCTCTTTTGCCCTCTTATATATCTCGATGCCTATTGTCCTTTCTAGCAGAAACAGTAACGCGGCTGATGCTCTACATGTCGAATTCTGATGCTTGTTACACCCGAGACGTACGACACGTGCTTGATTGTACCCCATTTCCTCTCAGTTGTTCGCGTACTGCATTGCCATAAAAAGGTGAGATACTAGGTCCCTATAAATAGTAAACCGAGCGCGCGTTTTTTCAGCTGTTGCGCCCCAAATATTTACATTATGGATATACACGGGATGGTACCTCCTTCCCAGAAACAAAGTGGCTTGTTGTGCCTGGGTTAATTTAAATCCTTAAAGTTTATAAGAATAATACAAGGGGCTAGTGTAATGCTTCAATGCCTTACATAAACGCTACAACGCCCGGGATTTAAAATCGCTATTGTCAGGTATGACGACGCGACGACGCCATTTTTATGAGTGGACTAACAGGCACGCACACACACACACACACACACACACACACACACACACACACACACGCCTCCCCCTCTGCCGACTCGCTTGTCACACTCTCACACACTGTCTGGAGCACGCCTCCCCCTCTGCCGAATCGCTTGTCACACTCTCACACATACGCAGTCTGTCTGGAAGTCTCGTGCGTACTGCCGCCTTGTTACGGCACAGAGGCACAGCTGAGTATCGGACGCTCTCGCTAGTACGATCTGTGGCGGTGCGCACTGATCCTGTGAAAGACAGGCGACGATGAGTGACAACAGCGACTAATAGCAAATACTGGAATCGATTTAAGCGTCACGCGCGCGGTTGCTTCACACAGTCGAATTAGCAAATTAAAGTTTGTCTACATTTTATTTTATTAATAATGAAAATTACAGTACATTTAATAAAACTCTTAAAAAAACTAGCAAACCTGATTTATGAAAATATTGACAGTATTCACACTGAAACTATGTTCCATGATGATAGTAGCAAAATTAGAATTTTCTATTAAATTAGAAATTCTAAAGAATAAAATAGGGTACTGCGGAACATGTAGCCTTACCCCCCCCCCCCATTTAAAAAACAACAACATGTCTTTGTCATTCCTCATCTTGAGTTTGAGGTGGCTCAGATGGACTTCCCCTGTAAAGAGCAAAGAAGCATATTTTAAAACACATTTTGAACATGCAGTGCAAAAGAATTTAACAGCAGGCACTGCATTGCTTATGTATACGATATACAAACAAGCCGTTTAGAGATCTTACCCAGAGTATGCCGGTGGAGGTGCATCATGCTGGCCACTGTGGGTCAGAGCCTCATTGTATGAGGGGAGACCTGGAGCCCTGTTAGACAAGGGCACAGATTCAGGTAGTGGCTGCCCATCCACACCTATACGCACAGGAACGCTGTGAAGATGCAGAATCCATTAGTGTGAATTTGCTGCATAAAAGGCATGTTGCTGTGGTCATGATGACATGCATTTACCTGCCCCCTCTTGAATTTTTGCCCCTGTTCTTGTAGCAATAAATGCCCAACACAGTGGCTATAATCGCTGTTATTACAATAGCCACAATGCCAGCTACCAAACCAGACACATCCACTGGGGGCAACGTTTCTGTAGAAAAAAAACAAAACAAAAAAAAAACAATCAGTTCATCATTCTCAACAAATACACATTTTAATTGATTATTTAGTGATCCCATTTTTCCTTTTTGGATAAAACATTGAAAATACTGGCCACTAAGAATATTTGTAGTTGGCATTTTCTTATACTATGATGACAGCTAGACAACACTCTTAAAAATAAAGGTTCCAAAAGCAGAGCCATAGAACCACCATTTTTGGTTCCCCAGAAAACATTTCTGTGAACAGTTCACAAAAGATTTAAAAAATCTAAAAGAACATTTTTCCACTATAAAGAACCTTTTGTGGAATGGAAAGTTTCCATGGATGTTAAAGTTTCTTAGTGGAACCATAGATGCAAATAAAGAACCTTTATTTTTAAGAGTGAAGGCTGCTTGCTTCAGTGCTATGAGGCATTACGTTGTCAGTTTTATTTGACAATTTAATCCAAATGTTTGATGTCCATATCTTCAACTAGATCTACAAAATATCAAATGAAACCTTAATGAAAAAGAACAACCTTACCGTGACTGCTGACATAGGTTTTCCAAAAATTAGCCTGTTGGAAAACAAAATCAATAGCACCAAGTATGTATACATAAACATGGCTATAACAGGCTTCTGTTGTGTTCACATTTTCTTGTATACTCTTTTTCTCACCGTCTTTCTGTCATCTTCAAACACCTCTCTGGCCTCTTCATATGAGCATATTTCCTCTATGCATTCTCTCTGTAGATCGTCAGGCACCACTACCTCAAAATCCCAACTGTTATACAACAGTTTACGGGAGAGAAACAAACCTGCTGACTTCTCTTCTAGGAACACTGAGGAACACAAGAGAATATGAATCATAATGAGAATAAGCTATACACCACAAACATACATTCAATCATGTCTTTTTACAAACAGAAAGAACAGCGCAGTATATAGGAATGTAATGAAATGGCAGCTAACGATAAAGACAGTTAAAAATGCAAAGAATTTAAAAAAATTAATAATTATGTTGCATTAAAGGTATGAAACGTACCAATGTTTACAATACACATAAAGGCCAATGTAAGTGATTGGCCAATGTGAGATTGTGCAAAGGTCTAAGTCATCGATTTGAGCATAATGAGTTGCATAGGGAGGTAGACCAACCAAAAAAAACACACCGTAATACTAACTTATTAGCAACAATAGAAGATAAACCCAAAGAATTTCAAACACTGGCTATTAAAAAGTGTTCAGCTTTTCATTATTACCATCATTTCCATTGTAGATCACTCTGCCCCAAACAAGATGCAGCAGGAAAAGCAAGCTGAAACCTATCGCTGGAAACCCGAGCATTGTACCTGTTCAAACCAATATTAAGAATATTACATAGATTAACAGGCTATATTTTGATAAATCCATATGGAGGAAATATATAACTAAAGAATTCGTCACACAAATATTCGAAGGAATTAGAAGCAAAATGCTTTTACAATATCGTCCTCTATCGGTCATTGTACTTAATCAAAATCAAACATTAATCTTTATATATTAAGAAAAAGAGTTATACATAAAATATCAGTTTAATATCTTATTTTCAACACTGCAACTTAGATCAAACACACATTGACAAAATTGTGGCAACACGAGGGAATGACTGAATATTTATTTTTGTATTTTTAAGTAAGTAGAGTAATAGTGCATATCTGCCCATTCATTCTGAAAACAAGCTGCACCACAAAACGCATGACAGCAGAACGAAAGCAAAACTGCTGCACCTGCGTCTAAAGAAAAACGACATTGGTCACCGCCTGCTTACCTTGACACTCTTTTGTGCTCCGAACAAGGAAACTTTGGATAAAAAATACTTTCAGATTTCTCCAGAGATTTCCTGCCTTGGTGCTGTAAATTATTATGGATATAGATAAAAAGTACGAATACAAGGTATTCACATATTCGATGCTTTTAATTGAAATTCTTCCATAAATCGACTGTGTTCTCATTCACAGCCACATTATAACACCGCGTACGACACATACCAGTTTGACAACAGTTCACAGCCGCGAGCATTTGTAGGAGTGACAGTGGGATGTGACGGAGTTTCGGTGACTTACCTGAACATCTCAATAAACAAAGGTGCTAATCGCCTCCATGACGAAAAATCATTAGTATTAGTAATTTTCAGTGCTATATATCTCGCAGTTTAATGTTCAAAAATGTCATTCATCATCTGCCATTTAAAACAAACAACGCTCCCCCGTGCACCTTCAACAGCTTCCGGTTTCAGCCTTCCTTTTCAAGGATAGTTATGAATTGGACCCCGCTTCTTCAGCTTAGCAAGAGCCGACCTGACAACAGCTTTTAATGAAGTTACGAAAGCCAGTCCTATAGACGTGATATTTGTCTTACATTATCGCGTTAAAACGTGCGTTACCACTACACTCAAATTCTGTGAGGAAACGACTTCATGCTGATGTTTCTTCAGTGAATTCAGAATCTCGCACTGCGGTTTGATTCCCTCCCAGCGAGTCACATTTTTCCTCACCTCACATGTGGGAATCATTTAGCAACAGTTGCTTGTAATGCGCAGGGTAGTTCTCGACTCTTATCTGATTGTTATGGGCCAATAAGAATAGAGAGTGTTAATTACAAATAGAGATGAATGAAATTTATATGAAGCTACATAGTCAGTAGGAAAAAATACAAAGCATTAATTTATTTATACTTTATTCATTCGTAATGAATAAAGTTTATAATTAAATGTTATTACTTTAATCATTAGTTCCTCATTCCTCAGCATCTGAAGCCAAATCCAACAACGGTATGTGTGAAAACCCTTTTGAATACTTTTAAAATGATTCACCCAATAAATCAGTCATCCATAAATTCTTACATGAAACGGTTTAGACATATTTTAATTGTGTACAAAAGAATATTGTTAGATTTAGATACAAAACTGGAAGATAAATGGTGTCTGATATTTCTCCAGAGCCAACAAAAACATAGCTTAAATAAAAAAACGGAAATAATCAGACTTAAGACATCAAATATTGAAATAAGAATGAGAATCATCCTGTTACCATATTGTGTAATTCTGTTAACAATGCAAATTAAATAGTGCTTTGTTCTTATTTGTGGCTGATCTACAACAGATTTTGCCAGTTTGAAAAATAAAATCCATGTCCCTTTATTAAAGGCTGTGTAGCAACTCCCTCTAGAGACGAGTATACCATAAGAACTGCTATAGTGTGAAAAGCAAAAGCACCTAGTCTTGTTTTTCCTCACCCTAAACTAGGCCTTCTACCTATTTACAGAGTGACTCATTCCCTTACAACACTGATTAATACCATGCTTTGTTAGTACATTTATTTGGCAATTCCTCTGTATCACTTTTTCATCACGGTCTACGAATGAAGGTGCAAAAATCACAAGCATGTCACAATAGCATGTGAACCTGGAGACAGACTGCCTTATTCTGCATATATGCACAAATAGAAGTACCTTAAAAAACACATCAAATCAAAACTAAAAAGAAACAGATCCAAATAATCACAGAATAAAACCAAACAATTTGTCCATTTTTAGTGTTAAACTACATTAGAAAACTATTCACGATGACAAAGCTAGGTGTGCAAACATGTACATTATAGCCTTTGGTTTGTAAGAATACTAGCATTTCAGATACTGGACCCATTGTTTCGACACTACCGTCTACACTAAAAATACTCCGTTATTAAAATCACATCATGTCTTAATCACTCCACATTGCTTTACCAGGAAGAGATAAATGAAAACAAGCTGGCTGAATATATTTTTTGCCACTGATGGGAAGCAAGGTATAGACTAACGCAGCCATTTCAGTGCAGTTTCACTGACTAAATGAATCTCCCAAGAGAAGACAGGCTGAACAGAGCTCTGGGCCAATAAAATACTTTCCGACTTATCTTTTTGAGTCAGTAACCCAATATATGACATACAGATGACATAAGAACCATAAGAAGTTCTGTCAGCACAGCCTATGATTGCTTATGTGGTTGTTTAAATATGCATTGTTGCTACTGTTCACCACCTCAGTGGTAAATAAAAAATAAAAAATACAAATCTCTTTTGTGGCACACAATCAGTCTGCGACCTCATACTGTGGTGGAAATAAACAAATACTGTGCTTGAATCTAAAATCAAGAGCATGATTTTACAAGGCACTATATAAAACATGTGGATGAAACAAGAACTCCCTCTTTCCAACAGATTCACGGTTCGCTCTTATTTTATAGTCTAGTTTCTTCTTGAAAACCAATTCATACATACTGTAAAAGCCAATAAAACACTGATGCATACAGTGTCTCACACACACACACACACTGTGTAGACATATAAGGCACCAGGCGTGAGAGTGAGGGCTTCGGTCTCCAAGGCAACAGCGCAGAGGGGCAGTCAGAGCAGGGTGCAGGGACAGCCACCACTCTTCTGCTTCCTCGCGTGATTAGCAGGGAGCGGTGGACTTTCTGTCTCCTGAAACTTCCTGAAGAAAGACGGTAATGCAAGTTTATCACAAATGCACTATGTTGTCAATCTCATAAGAGTGCACCTCTATTCCAAATACCTTATTGCTCGCACAACCTCCATGAAGGCTTCATCCACATTGTGGCGGTTCTTAGCTGACGATTCCATATAGTGGATCCTGTTTTCTCGGGCAAATGACATGGCCTCATCTCTTGAGATCTAATTGAACAACATATTCATATGAATTGGCAGCCTATTTAGGGTTTTTCACTAAAACTTCAATCATTTGTGTAACACGTTACCACTCTCAGCTGGTCAAGATCTGATTTGTTGCCAACAAGAACCATAGGATAATCATCTCGATCCTTCACCCGCAATATCTGAGTGTGAAATTTCTGAATTTCATCATAACTGAAACCGATAGAAAGTGTTCATTAGAATGACAAGTTTTTGCTCTACGAAGACAAAAGTAATTCAAAATAATACAGAGTTCATAGAATGTCATTATAATTGAACTCATCTTGGATAGTAGCCTGTAAATTTAATTTGCATTAGACAAATATTACAAATCTATTTTATGAGTGTTATAACTGCTAACAAAAATTACATGAAATATTGAAATATTTTCCTGAACTGAAATAAAAAATACTAGATAACGAAAAACAACTAGGAAAACTGCTGATTCAAAAACTAAAACAAATGTCAAATTAAATTTAAACAAAGCAGTTCTAGTTTAAGGTTTGCTAACATGCTATATTCTAAAACATTTTAATTAAACATAAAAATGTCACTAGACTGTGCTAAGAATTTTAACAGCATTAAATATATATTTTTGAATTGACCAGTTAACACATTTCAGTCCTAAAATACAAACACACACACAAAACAACTAAAAACAACAACAAAACAATGTAAACCAACAATGAAACAGAAAACTAACTAAAACTAAACTGAAAATAAAAAATTTCACTGAAGATAAAAAAAATCTTCTTAACTTCAGAGGCAGAATAATTGATTGCAGTTTACAACTGTACAAATATTTGCATGGAAAATATAGTCTAATTCAATTCTGTAAGAAACCTCTACATTTCTACTCGCCATTCAAATAGGCTCAGTTCATCTGTTGAGGTTCATCTGAAAACATGAGCACTCATATTCTCATCACAAACACATTCTGTGGTTTTCTTTTTTAAAACAAACACAGCCACATACACACTCTCGGTTCTCGTCACACAGAAAGGTTAGGAACTATCTATTCCCCTTCCTCTCGCACACACAGACACAAACACACTCTGGAAAACACCTACCTGCCACTGTCATTAAGAGCAAACACTAGTAAGAAACCCTCTCCGGAGCGCATGTACTGCTCTCTCATCGCTCCAAACTCTTCTTGTCCTGCTGTGTCGAGGACTAATGAATAGGTGAACGACACAATAACACAAATGAATAGAGGGGAATATGCAAGATGAGCTCATCCACACAAAACATTTTTGCTTTAAACCTTGCTTTAAGCACAGCTGGCATGATGTCCTACTGACAGCAAGTCAAAACAAAACCTGGGCAGGAACCCGTAGTCAGTCATGAATCACACTGACGCAACTCTGACCAAAATCTCCCTTCTGAGGGAACCTGTGGAGCTTTTTAACACTCAATCCTTCCTATAAAATCACATTAATTCCAACTTACTGTCTAATCGTGTCTCCTTTCCATCCACAGTGCATATTTTAGTGTACGAGTCTTCAATGGTTGGGTCATAGTCCGACACAAAGTACGACTGTGAAAGAAAACAGAAATCATTTTGGTTGTTCACCAACTCCTCAACAAGAGCTTTAACATGAAGGAACATGCAAAGGAAAGCCCACTGCACTCTGAACTTCACACAACTCTTGCAACACACCCACAGTAATACTTACCACAGCACATTTGCCCAATATTACGCCATAAATACATCTATATTTTATATTAAATACCTAAAAAATGCACTTACCTGAATGAACTGAATGGTGAGGGCGCTTTTCCCCACACCTCCACCGCCCACGACCACCAACTTATATCTTTCTTCAGTTGACATCATCCTACTCCTGCAAATATGAAACATTTGGTTATACACACAAACAAACAAACTAATCACGTCTTCTTACTCGACTAAAATGGTTTTAAATGAAATAATGTTGCTCCATCGAGCATAAAGATTTAAGACCGTACAAGGCCTGGCATCGTTGATAAACCTCTACTAAAGGCTCCAAAGTTACAGATTTTGGGCGAGTATGTATCATAATCAAATCTCCATGGTTCAATCTGTACAGAACAATAGCATTTGCAGATTGATAATTCTAAATAGGAAATAAAACAAATACCGTGCTGGTCTGGACAATGATGGCCGATTACCTTTCTTCCGCAGCCGCCTTGGGTAAATTAGCCTTCTGGTGGCAAGTTAGCGACTCGAAAGTCAGACAACTTAACGTTAGTCCACTGCCAACCCGCGAATACTCTGACAACTTTAATAGACTATATCCGCAAGATTTAGCCTACAAATTCTCCCTTTTTACAAGCGATACAACCATCTTTCTTAGGGAGATAAAAAGCGAATTCCAGGATGTCCGCCCTCTGGATTTTTCTTGGTGATTTCTGGACTCGCTCTTGCTTCCGATAGCTTTTTTTTCATGACCAGGGGCAACTTTTTTCGTTCTGAGTGTGTATTATACGTACGCCTGAAATGGGCGTGGCTTTCGTCGTTGTTTTTTCTCATCGAACGCATGATTTCGTTATCGGTGAGCCTCGGCGAGTTCTAATTGGCTGATGCACATGATTCGATGAACGATTCTGCTGTTACTACGCTTGCATTTCCGCAATAGGAGGCAGGCTATGATAAATGCGTAATTCGAGCGTGGTCTTTCCCATATTTGGCCAAGGAAGGGCCTGGTTTGTCTGCGTTAAAAGTAGATGTTTACATAGAGCGTTCATTCAGCATTCATTGTTCGCTTTTTAACTTATAAACAAGATTTAAAAATTAAAAGGGCAAAACATG